AAGCCAGCTCAGATCACAGGACAGGGCAAGGAGTTTTCAAGGCACAGCTGTCCTACAAGGACAAAGTCCCTCAAGGAAGGATCCCAAGCACTTTGCTGCCTTTAGCACAGGAACGCATTCTCCAAAGGAATCTTGATATATTTTATCTGACTAGTAACTGGAGAAAGAAAATATCTGCCGCCAATAAAAGAAATAATGTGAACGGGAAAACATATCCCATTCCATAAAATACCTTTAACTTCTGATTAACTGAGCTACAGGATATAAAAAAAAAAAACAAAAACAAAACAAAAAAAAACCACAGCAGGGACAGAACCAGTTGTGACAGCAGACAAAAACTACCTCCAGGTAAGGGAAATGTTCTTGAGTCCAACCCACCTCAATGCACTTGATTCTACACAACTCCATTTGAGATACGATGTCATTACAGGCTTTAAAAACATCACAGTCGTTCTGTTCAACATGACACCTTGAACAATGTGTTTTCAGGGGCACTTTCTGTATAAATAGTATATCAACAATACTAATGGTTGTGGTTTAGGTTTATCAGGGTTTTCTGAACTGCAACTTAAAATTAAAAAAATCCTTCTGCTTAAATCAGTGTACACAGGCCAATTAAAAAGCACAAGATCAAGGACCAATAAACTAACACCCTATCTGGGATTGCAGCCATTCACAGATACTTAAGACTCTAAGAACAGGTCAGGGTAGAGAGGTATTTTCTGTGGCATGCTTTCCCTGACAAGAGAACCCACCACTTTAGCAAGAGTTCAATACCACTAGAAAAAAAACTGCTCAGAGGGATTCAACACTCCTGGATCTTTCCAAAAGGTGCTTCCTCCCAGGAATGCCCAGCAACTACTTTACTAAAGCACAATAGGTATACCCATCACCAACCAAAATACAAGTCCTTGATAGAACAAAAGTGCTTCTTTTTCTTTCAGAAGAGAAGTTCATTGCAGGAATGTATTTCTAAAAGCCTACGGAACATACCCAAGAACAGTCAGACCTTTACAAGGACAAGTAGATCACTCACAGTAAACACTGACTTAACCCAAATGAATTATTTTCTTTATAGAGTTTATTTTAATATCAATTTTAATGAAAATGAGATTTTCTTAAACTAACATAATGTGTAAGCCTCCTAAAGTCTAACAAATGGATAGTGCAAAGTCCTGCCCCTGGGAAAGAATAGCCCCAGGCACCAGGACAGGCTGGGGCTGACCAGCTGGAAAGCAGCTTGGCAGGAAAGTCCCTGGGGGTCCTGGTGAGAACCACATCTGGAGCACTGGATCCAGTTCTGGGCTTCCCAGTACAGGTGAGAAAGGGACAGACTGGAAGGGGTCCAGGGAAGGGCCACAAAAGTAATCGTGGAGCATATGACATACAAGTAGAGGCTGAGAGCTGCTGGGACTGTTCAGCCTGGAGAAGAGAAGGGTCTGGAGAATCCCATCACCGTGTATAAGCACCTGATGGGGAGGCGGATGGGAGAGAGGGAATGGCAGAGGCTGGCATTTCACAGCGGTGCCCTGTGACAGGACAAAAGGCAACGAACTGAAATACAAGATATGAAGTTTAAACCTAAGACAACCCTTTTTTACTGTACGGATGGTCAAACACTGGAACAGGCTACCCAGAGCATTTGTGGAGTCTACTGAAGATAATCAAAACCTGCCTCCACACAGCCCTCAGCCACCTGCTCTAGCTGTCCCTGCTTTGAGCAGGGTTGAACACGACAATCTCCAGAGGTCCCCGACAACCTCAGCCATTCTGTGATTCTGTGCATGCAGTACTACCTCTACTACACAGTTACATCGTAGGAACAAAGGGACATAATTCATTCATCTCTACATATACCGTGTAATAAGGGATTCCTTATCAGCTGCACAAGTGATACCATACACCTGCACTAGCTCCTCTGCCCTTGTCTCCCTCTCCCCCCTATACTCCACGCTCTCCTTTCCCCTTCCACGAAGCTGATATTCTCATTTCCTAACAGCTGCAGATTGGAGCCCTTTAAACAACAGACCATCTCCCACTCCTCCTATCCTAAGGTAGGATGCTGCCAAAACCGGCTACTAGCAAATCTCGCATCGCTAGTGTTTTCAGCCACAGGGTTACATGCACTTGTGAATTCTGGAAAGCTGGGGATAATGCATATTCTGTGATATTTAGCAAAGTATTAAAACAGAAGAACAGAGTTACTACAACACAATTGAGCCTCCCTATACCAAATGGGGACTGATTCTCTGTGGTGTTCTCTGCCTTGCTTGTCAATGTTAGTTTCTTCCTTCTTTTGCTTCTTTTTACTTGTTCAAGGGATCCTTTTTGTTTGCCTTGCTATCTGCTTTACAGTCACCTTAACTTCCATCAAGCAAGTTTATGAAGGCTATGTGCTTCAGTTTATTCTCTTTATTTCCTACTTTTGCTTGAATTAACCTTCATTTTTTGAAGGATATTAATTATTATTTTTTAAACTCTACCTACTTAATTTTACTGGGAATTCTTTATTACTATTGCCTACCTCTGCCTTTAATCTTATTTTACAATTAACCAACTGAGAATAAAATCTGCACAGGAAAAGTTCTCAATTCCCATCCACAAGCTAATGGTCTTTACGCAACTCTTTGCCCTCCATATCCTCGCCCTAGCTCAGCAGCTGCAATTTTCTTGATACTGAAGAACAGCACACTACTTCTAAGAACTATACAAAAAGGCACAGAGATGATACTGTCAGTTGGCTTCTATCAGGTATATATGTATCTGCACATCCAATGCAAAGGTTCAGAGAGTTTGTGAGTGGTTTTGGTTTGTTTTTAAAAGATCAGATCAAAAATGTTGAACCTACAGGACTTGTTGGGTTCTGACACATCCTTTGGCACATGGTATTAGTGAGGGATCAGCTTCTCAGACAGTCATTCTTCAACCACCAGTGTGAACACACTACCGCTGGTTTGAATCAGTACATTTTAAAGTCATATATGCAAGGAAAGTTACATAGCAGAAACTGTTGCAGAGAGCAGAGAATAAACAAAACCGAAATATTTCTCCCACATGACATTCATAATGCTATATAACACTTTCAGCCTGATTTTTTTTTTAATTTGAAAGGCTTATTGTGCTGAGTATTAATTTTTCCACTGAAACTATGTTTGCTTTGACAATCCATGTCAAAAATGTTTAATTTGTTACTCAACCAAGAAAAACAAAGATCTCCATAGCTACCAACAAGCTGTTATGATAGGATATAACGGCAGTTAGTTTTGTATCACCCAAACTTCATGCATTGGGTTTGTTGCTGTAACAAATTAAGATGTATTTAGGAAAAGTTGTGTTCTGTACAGATACAAGCTTTCCTCACCCAAATACAGTAATAGTTGCTCTTTTCTGAGATGGAAGATGTTTAATCTTTCGGTTCTAAGTTCCATGGAAGAGCACCCACATATGGTTCTCCCCTACATTTAATCAACGTTATAAAAAATGGTCAGAAACAACAACAAAAGTTGTCTTTCTCCATAATTAGGAATTGCCAGGAACTGAGAGTGGAGAATGAACGATGCATGCTACAGGAAAGGAGTGACTCTCAGCAAAGAGAAGAAATGGAGAACAACCGGAGTATCCATGTGACAGAACAGAAAGAGTATATGCAAAAGTAAGGAAAAAGAGGAATAAACCCAGGCTACAAATAACATCAGGCTCATTAATAGAGCGGCAAGAGAAACATTAAGTTCAAAGAAAAATTTTTGGTCATTTGCTTTTAGTTAGACCCTCTTTCTTAACCAACTCCATTCTACTGGTTAAAGGACACACACCATACCACATCATTTCTGGCATAGGATTAGTAAAATAGAGAGATGGCCACAACTGAACTGGAAAAGATCTTGTCATCAGTTCTGTTGGCCAACACGCACTAACTGGAAGTATTCTGGGAATAGATTTTTTTTTTTTTTTTTTTCCCATTTTTGGCAACAGTAGAAAAAGCCAAAAAGCCAGTCTCATCACCAAGCGCAACACCAGCAGTCAGGAAGTGAAGCCTTCTGAGGGGTGGAGGAAGCTTCTGCTGTGCAAATAGAATTAATCTGCTGGCAAACTGTTTCTGTTCCAGGTTACAGCCCTGGGATGTTGTTAGTAACTCCAGCACTGCAAGCAGATAGTTCATATCCAGCTTCTCTCTCCTCTCTACCTTCCTGAGCATGCCAACTGCTTACTAAGAACTATGTTTTTCTAACCAAAATGGATTTCAACAAACAGTCCATCTGCAGTGTGCCACACTAAACACATGACTGCACAAATAGCCTTGCTTGTTTACTAAAGGTAAAATCTACAAGAAACATACCACAATATTTATTTATACTGGGCAGTAACAGCTGTTAGTGTATGGGTTTTCCAGTTACCCTCATCACAACTACACTTCTGTGGACGTCGGAGGCAGAAGTCCCTACCATGTCGTATTTTTCAACATCAATGAAGTGTTACAGAGAAACAAAACACATTCTTCACAAGACTTCTATTACAGGCTAATCAGTTCACCTTTTAAGAAAATGTATAGTGAAATAGTTAATTTTAAGTATATACCTGACACTCTTTTAATTAGAAAGGTCTGATTATGTAAAATGTAAGTAGAAGAAAAAAGAACCAGCCTAAGAGTTCACACTTTTGAAAAAAAAAAAAAAAAAAAAATTCAACTCTTCCGAAGAATATTAAAACATTGTATTGAAAAGTGATGTAAAAGCCCCTATCTAAATAGGTCAGCAGTTCTCCTAAATAAGTGTATTGATAATCACTTGAAAGTTATAGCTAATGTAAAAAAAAAAAAAAAAAAAAAGCAGCACTGCACCTTACAAATCCATTCTAGAAAATTCACCATTGTAACACTCAAACTCAGCACACTTCTTGCTCTAAAACACAAAATTACTTCTAGATTGAAATTATGAAGCTTTTAAAATTAGAACATGCAATATTCATTGATAATTAAGTATCTTTTCAGGGAAACAACTTACTTGATTGAGTTTCTGAAGTGGTCCTCAGCAGGATTTTTTACTGTACAACTGTTCAGCAACCATAAATCTGCTTCAGCAGAGTTGTCTAGAAGACATAAAGATACAAATATGTGTTAAGAATTATCCAACCTCTCAAGCCCTACTTTATAACATATAAAAAAAAAGATCAAACTCAGCCATTATCAATAAGTTGACTATTTGCAAAATGACTTTATATTCAACATTTAAAGGAACAGGTTTTTTGTTTGCTATTTTTTTTTCCTAAAACACAAAACAACAAACAAAACCAAGACCACACACGAGCATTTCCATTGTACTTTTTTTTTTTTTCCTACAAAGGTAGAATGAACAGTTATCTCATTTACCAACTGAGATGCCACTAGGTTGCACATCATGGGAAACAAAGTTAAGAAAAATGGTTGCTACTCCCAAGAATGCATACAGCCTGCGAAGATCTGGCCTACACAAGGGCAAAAAGATCACCAAAATACATAAAGGTGATTTTTAAATTAAGTGGTCAACAATAGCAGGTTTCACTAACAAAACAAAATCCCTGCTTCAGCTCTATTGTGAATTAGTACTACAAAAGAGATAAATCAGAATAAAACATTAATCTCTACTAAAGACAAAAATGAATGTAACTAATTTGGAAAGAAGCATGTGTATTTCTAGTTTAGATTATATCTTAGTTATCATATAATTATAGCTCAGCAATTTTCAGACAAAAGATATTCATGCAACAAATATCTGCTTTCATTCAGATAAGCATATAAGTTTCTTCAAGAACCAAACTTTTCTGTATGTTCACAGCCTATTGATATCTGAATGCATTAACAGAACTGCATCCCAGAATTATCTGCGCCAGCACATACATAAACTCTAATCCTGTAAAACATAACCTATAGTACAAAATTACTAGCACAGTTATTTTTCTTGTGAATTCTTTTATTTGAAAAAAGAAGGTCTAGGATAATCCATGTCAAATATTCAAGGGCTCTAGCATTCATCAGAATAGCTTGTATCAGTTCGGATAAGAAATTTTGTGTCATTCTTCCTATTATTCAGTACATCCCGAGTACTGAAGTACTGACTGAGGTATCTTTAAATAACATAAGCCAATGAACAATGAATAGAGCTAAAACATAATTTTTAGGATGCTTTGAGTTGACATCCCGCTAAAGCAGAAGAAAGCTTGCAAAGATTTAAGCATGTTTACATATGCACTCATCACAAATGTATCCACATAGGCATGCATATCCTTTCCCCCCATACACATACTTATCACTCAATGCTAAAAGTGAAAAATCTTTCCTTGTCTCACTGCCATTTTCTCCAAAGAAATGATCCTTTAAAAATAACTATCAATCACTTAACCTAGGAAGCAGGTAAAATGAAAATAACACATAAAATAGCAACCAAAGGACATACTTATGTTAAATAAGAGAAAAAAAACATTGTGAAGGTTTCTAATCTTTGTTGATAGAGATCACACCGTTAACTTGGATCAAACACCAGCCTCTTCTATGACAGGGAAAGGCTACAAAGGAGTCATCAAAAATAGCATTCAGACCTTTAGCTATTTTAAACATACAGTAAATCTACCTAGATCTGTCCCTGTCTTGACAGGTTGGGAAAGAGGACCAAGTTCAATTTTAGTCCATATAGAAGTCAGAGCAAAAATTGAACGAGCCAAAGAATCTCTCCTCCAATCCAGGCTGGGTGAAAAGAACATTTTCAGACTAATGAACATACTATTACTGTTAGAAAGATAATTATAGTTAAACAATTGATTAGCAATGATGTACAGTAAAGCAAAAAAAGGTAGTTTCAAAACCAGAAAAGGGTGAACTCTTGGGCTAGTCACATTCACCATGTATGAAAACAAACACATTTTTAAAACAGTTTTCCAATAACACTGCCAAAACTTTGTATTTCTTATTCTGTTCAGCAGCATAAAATGTTTATAAATTCAACTCCACACCCATAACACACCCACCTGAGAACTGGGGGGAACTAAACAAGAGGCCAGCACTGTAAGTCAGACAGGAGGCTGGGAATACATTCACCAGACAAGAGTTTCAGTAGCAGTCATACATCACTGTAGAGCATAACAATTTTCAAGAGATGTCTTTATTCAGAGGAGAGATGCCTTAATGCAGAGAACACCAGTTCTGGGCTTGGTTTCAGTTCCTCCTTGTACCATGGTCTCCACGTACAAAGGAAGAAATAGCCTCACTGTGACAAGACTTCTCCCCTAAAGCTAAAATAAAACTCCTTTCTTCAAAATGGCATTAGAAAAACTAACACATTTAAGTTTTGAAAGACCATACATACTAACGCAGCAGCAATCATTTCATACAGCAATCTGGACTCCAGACTATTAATATATTAGGTCCTTGACTGGGAGTCTGAGGGACAACTGCAACAGTTGCACATATTTTATACATCGAAAAAAATCTCCCAAATACATTCAAATTCATTCCTTCAGATGTTTCACCCTCTGCAGAACAGAATCTTCTGAGCAGTATTTGGGAAAAGAAGTCTCACTAATGTGTACACCTAAAAATCATTTAAGAAAAATAGAAGTGTAGCAGAGGCTTGTCTTCTTACAGCAGCAGTATTTTTTTATCGTATTTCATTGTTCTATTTCTGTATTTATTTTTTAATCTTTTTTCTTATTAACTCTCATTCTCTCTCATACAGATATATTTACATACAAGTTTTGATTATGTATATATATACACATATACACACATATGTTTATGCTATATGTATTTATTAATAAGAGTTCATACCACAAATCTTCAAAATGATAGCTGACTTTTCTTAGTTCTTTACTGCACTGTTCATACATAAAAGAATTACATGCACTGGTGTAGATTCACTATGATCTACTGTATTTTCTCAAGCAAATTTCAGTTTAAAAAAATTATTTACCCACAGGGCATTTATGTATCAGGTTGCAGGAAAATATGCCCTTGTACAACATTGCGAGGGCAACTTGTCAGCGGTCACATTTTGCTTTCAGAACTTTTGATGCACTTACACTAAATGCAAGGCCTTGATGGACATGCTGAAACAAACATGGACCAAAACACCAGATCAGAGTTGGCATGTATAAACAAGATCTTGAGGCTTCATAATTAGCAAATATTAAGCAACACTGGGGGTAAGGGTTCTTCTTTCGGGGCAGGGGGATTGGAGGGACTAGCTATACGTAAATGTATATATACACCTATATATATGTATATTAATCAGAGTTCTGACACGAGTAGTTGCTAGTGTTCAGTGTGCACCCAAAAAAAGAGTAAAATAGCTCTGACAAATAAGCTCAGGCTTCTAAATACATGCTTACACAGGCAGGGGCAGACAGACCTGACTCTTCTCTGTTTATACTCCAGGAAGACAGACATGAACGTGTTTAGGTCTGGGTGGTAAACACCATATGAATGTAGCGTTGTGCCTGCTAAGGCAGCCCATGCACCCTTCCTTGGAAGGTCTCCACCTGCCACCTTCTCCAACTCCAGCCTCCACCTCGTAAGTCACAGTGATTCATTCATTCAGCAGGTTGACACCTACCGTCCTCAGAAACCGCCATTAGACCATAAGGTTTTGGAGAAACCTCCAGAATTTCAGTGAAGAACAGAGGATTGTGTTTGGGACCTCTCACAGATCTGACTGAAGAGGACAATCTGATCTTTACAGAAGGTTTTCCAGCAAGTCATACATACCGAGGCAGGCAAAATTGAAGCAAGAACCATAAGCACAGTGAACATCAATTACGGTAGTTAATATGAGATATAGGTGCCCTTTTCTATACTGTGCAACAAACTTCCCTAAGGGAACCTTCTTTCTTCAACTTGTTTCTAAATGCAACATACTTTCTAAATCATGATAATTTGCTGATCATTTTTTGATGAGCTACTTAAACAGTTTCCTGTACGTTAAGACATTTTTAGAAAAAAGCTATGTCAAATCAGCATTGTACTAAATGCTTAAAAACACAACTCAAAACCATGGCCTTTCTGCATTGTGACATCTTTTCCATAAAAGAAAGGCTACACTGGAAGTAAACCACAAAGTCTATCATACTTTCTGCAAAACAACACAGAGTACAAAGAAACCTAAAGGTCATGGAAACTTCTGAACACTTAACTTAATTGGGAAGCTCTGGAAAACATGAATTGGCTGCATTATGCAATACTAAGAGGATAAAATGGCAAGAGTCTGAAATATCAGTATACCTACAGAGGAAAACAATATTTACAATTCTTTTCTAACTAGCATTTTTGGGTTTGTTATCATTTTAGAAATCGTAAATCAGGAGAACTTCTTAAGAACACTGTAGTAATACTATCAGTTGAAAATTAAACAATTGACTTGGTTTTGCTCTGGTGTTTTAACTTAAGCCTTCTTCCTTTCAACTCTTTTTCCAAAACTTTGTTTTCTTCCAACCGCCCCCAACCCACATCTCCTTGAAAAATCAAAACACACACAGAGCACTGAAGTAAAAGAAACACAGATAGTGAAGCCCTGAAAGAATAGCCCTTCTTTACTTCAGCACATCACTCCTCTCTGCACTGAAACTGCTACCAGATTTGCTCAGCACTGCTTGCTCAAAAAACGTGACTTAATTCGTATGACATCCTTTTCAATCCTGTATATGAATCTGTGTAACTTCAATCCAAAAGATCTGTCTCTATAATCACAGAAGGCTCATCCCATGGCCTTTTCCTCCAGCTCTCCTTATCCTATTCCTAAACTCTCTGCCAGTCTTCCTTCTCACCCCTTCTGATTTTCCTTTACTTCCAACTCTCTTGCACAACAGATAGCCTCCAGTTTCTCTGTTTTCATGTGCTGTATTCTAGTCTCTGTTCCCATTTATGGGCTTCCCCATTAACTCTTTGTCCTATGCATTCTCACTTCCAAAACAGCTCTGCCGCCTTCCCTCAATCCCCTGCTTGGCATTTTATGCCCTGGGGCCAGACCCAGTTAACACCCAAGTTATGTATCTGGAGCACGTCCTCACAACTGGACTCCATGTGAATCATCTCACCCCAAAAGACACAAAAATCTAAGCATGAT